TCAAAGAAATACAGCCAGAAAATATATACTATCTGGTTGTTTATTGATAAAAATGCAAAACTTCATAAAATACAAGTTGTATACAAAATATAGGAAAAAACACTTCTTCTCATAAGTTCAGCATCCAAGACTTATCTACAAACACAAAGTCCTTCTCATAAGTTCAGCATCCAAGACTTATCTACAAACACAAAGTCCTTCTCATAAGTTCAGCATCCAAGACTTATCTACAAACACAAAGTCTCTAGCCAAAAACTCTCAGAGAAGAGGTACACTACTTTGTTATTAGGTACAACTACATAACCTATAAAACTACATACCTACATGGTGGCTAACACTAACACAACTGCAAGGCTGGGCATACAAATGCTCCAGTTATATTGTCACTCCATACCCCCCCACTGGGTAACTAGCATACACATGCCAATAGGTGGCAGTAAATAGCAGTATACATGCACAACACACAGTCATACGATCTCTCTCTAGTCATAACATTTTCAGTGAAGATAACGAGCTGCATCCTTTTTCCATGAGAAAATCCTAACAGGAGAACCCTAGTAGCCATTATTCCTAATGGAATAATATCCAAGTTATATCCAAATATAACTCAAATGATTTCAAGATCAGATTTAAAGTATCTTATTTTAATTTGGCTTTCAGATTATAGTAAGAGTAATTATTGTCATACTTTGTGTTTTCATCATTTTGCCTTCAGGAAAAAAAGTTATAGATGTAGTAGCTGGTTCTACTCACTGTTTAGCCCTCACAGAAGATAGTGAGGTCTATAGCTGGGGAAGCAATGATCAGTGCCAGCATTTTGACACTTTGAGGATTACTAAACCAGAGCCAACTGCTCTTCCTGGATTAGATTCAAAGCACATTGTTGGTATTGCCTGTGGACCAGCCCAGGTACGTTTTCCCTTTACAGTTCTCATTTAGGCATTATTTTCTGTTTGAGGTTACAAACAGGGTTGGGGATTCGTTCAAGAGTATGTTTCTCTTTAGCGCTGCAGGTCTAACTCATCCCTTTTGACTATGACTTCTTTGCATATTTAAGGTTTATGTACTTTATGTTTCACACATGCCACCTATTTTTAATAATATGGCCATTCAGAATACTTTTAACTTTCATTGCACCCCAGATTTTGCACTTAGATCATGACTATATAGCAGTTGTATTATCAGACTGTGTACTTCTGCCCTACACTGTTATTACTCAGTACCCATTTATTTTCCCACTATAATTTATCTTAAAATTGATAGTTTTTAGAGGGAGATGACCAAGGAAATATCCTCCAACAGTTTTATATCTCAGAGATAATCTTGTTTAATCCTAATATGTTTTGATTTTTCTTTTCTTCATGATACAGAGCTTTGCCTGGTCATCTTGTTCAGAATGGTCAATTGGTTTACGTGTACCCTTTGTGGTAGATGTTTGCTCAATGACATTTGAACAACTGGATCTCTTACTGAGACAAGTTACAGAAGGAATGGATGGCACTTCTGACTGGCCACCTCCACAGGAGAAAGAATGTATGGCTGTGGCTACTTTGAATCTTCTAAGGCTGCAGGTATTTTAAATATCATAGCAATAATATCCAGAATGGAATCTCAGAATCTCAGTTGTAGTAATCAATTATTGAATTAGCTGAAATTAACATTGACTTGTAATTTTCCAAATACCGTAATATTTTAATTGTTACTACCTTTGCACAGGCCTCATAGTTGCTATCACGGTAGCCTCTGTAAGTTGCAACTTAAAGGTGTAGCGTGCCTATGGTCAAGTAATTACTGGGTCAGTTACTGACCGGGCCTTGATCCTAGTTCACCATAATTCAAGGCCAGTACTCCTTTTCTATATAATTGGGGATATGTTTATAATATTTATTAATTAATTTTCACATAGGTTGGAAGTACATGCCTTAGTAAATGTTCAAAATTCACACACAAGTACGTATGGTTATTTTATACTAGAATTCTTTCTTGAATTTGCTTCATCGTTTATAAGTTACCTGTGCTTGTCTTTCAGCTTCATGCTGCAATTAGTCACCAAGTCGACCCTGAATGCCTTGGTTTGGGATTGGGCAGTGTCTTGCTCAACAGCCTGAAGCAGACGGTAGTGACTTTAGCAAGTAATGCTGGTGTGCTTAATACTGTACAGTCAGCAGCCCAAGCAGTGTTGCAAAGTGGGTGGTCGGTGTTGCTACCAACTGCAGAGGAACGCGCAAGAGCTCTTTCGGCACTTTTACCCAGTGCAGGTATGTTTCATTCACAGATATCTGAAGATAACACAGAGAAAGACATTGCTTATGTGTCATACATCATAAGAGTTTTGTTAACTTTTAGTTTCAGGGAATGAAACAAATGTGAGTCCAGGTCGTAGATTTATGATTGATCTGCTGGTTGGAAGTTTGATGGCTGATGGGGGTCTAGAATCTGCACTGAATGCTGCTATTACTGCAGAAATTCAGGTAGGTTGGTTTTGTGTTCACTACACATTGGGGAAAAAAGTTTTGGATTGACATTCTGTCAAGAGCTGATTGGCTTCACATCTCAGTTTTTTTACTTTACTTGTTTTATGGTTATAATATGAAATGATAGAGTATATACTTTATTAGTGAAACATTACATAAAACTGCATTCACAGTTTTATTTACAACTACTTTGTAAACTCATTGGTGTTTTTCACAAAGCAACTTTGGTGTGTTTTATCATTTTTGTTGAAGTAAAATATGAATGTTTAGGCTAGCAATACTTCTGAAGGGAAAGGATTGTCGCTTACTAATCAATAAATTGTATGCATAGATTATTGCATAATCTGACCCATTAACTAGAAATACTGTGGATTGGGAAATCCAGTAATCTGTAAGAAGGGATTCTGGATAAAACCAATTTGAAGGGCCAAATATGCTCCTGGAGACAATACTGTGTGTAGTTATGCAGGTGGCATTTTTAACCCATTTATGCTGATTTAGCAGCAGCAGCCCCGAACTGCAACTAATATGGAATATGGGAGCTAAAATGCTTGTGGGATATATATTGATAATATACTATCAATTTTACATTATTTACATTAGCTGCTTACTCATTTCTAGCTTCAGTTCAAGGTACTCATTTTTACTTTAAAGCCTGATTGTACTCGTATGCACGTTGGAGGTCTTAGTTTCTGGTCCACCAGCAAGATTCATTCTAATGTGATAGCAATGTTTGCAGGAGAGTAGGCAGAGTTTTGGATGTGGAATGAAAATAAATTGGTGCCTACATAAGGGAGCCATTTTGTTTCAGAGTATAATAGTAATGTGTTTTCTGTGACAGGTGGCCTGATACCCACATTTCTCCAACTTTAATGAGCTTAGAATTTTTCTTGAAACACAGGGATTTATTTGGTATCTTGGTGGTTGCACCTAGTCAAACATGGTCAATCTTGGAAAGCTAAGCGTGATCAGGCCTGTCTGAGTGTTACAGGGACACCACCAGGAAATATTAGGACTATAGTCTAGACTTGAAGCAAAAAATAATCCTGAAAGGAGGCAGTGGCAAATTATTTCTCTATTACCAATTAAAGTACACTAGTGGGTCTGTGAAGATGTAAGAAGTTAGGTGTGATTCATTGGAAACTTTGTTTTTTTAACCTTGTATACACTATCTTTCATTCCATTTTATCTCTCCCAGCCATATGGGCTTTATGGAGTGGTAGGCTCCTCTTTGCAGATTTAACTGAAAGGCAGGAAGTTGGAAAGTCAATAAATCGTTAGGGATTGGGGCATTACATCTCTCGTTTAGTTGACGTGACAATAAAAATTGTTCAGTGCTTTCACTTAAGTCTTTTGCTTTGTAGGATATTGAGGCAAAAAAAGAAGCTCAGAAAGAAAAGGAAATCGATGAGCAGGAAGCAAATGCATCATCACTTCACAGAAACAAGACACCGTTAGATAAAGACCTCATTAATACTGGGATCTATGAATCTGCAGGAAAGCAAAGCTTGCCTTTGGTTCAGTTAATTCAGCAGTTATTGAGGTATTCTGGTTTGATAACAAAGCTGTCACAAAATTATTGCTCCTCTTCATTGTTTAATTTTTGTTTTCTTTTCACTGTCTTTGTTTCATTTCTTCTGTTTTTGATTCCATCTTTGTCTTTGGATTGCTTTTGGGGTGTTTATTGTGCAATAATAAGAAGCGTACTATATTGAGAATAAAGACTGGGCTAAAAATAATTTTATGAGCTTCCTGGTTAATGGTATTCCTGCTAAGCCTCCTATTTTGATCAGTAAATTTGTGAAAAATTGGACAATTTCTTCTTTGTATTTCAAGCTGCTTTTGAAATAGAAGACTTTTAATAGCAGATTGTAGCATGGCCTGGGAGTTTTACTTTCTGTGTTATTTAGTGATATGGGTCACAGACATGCTCTTAGGTCAGTGGTTCTTAAACTGCATGTTACCCCCATCCCCACCCCCCCGGGCTTAGAAGCAAATTTCAGGGCCTTGGAGACAAAGCAAAATGCTTTTTAAAATTTTTTAGTGTTAATTATGAAAAGTTAAAAACATTACCCTTTCGCATCCTTCCTCTACTTTATGACTTCTGGTGTTGGGCCACAGCATCCATAAACTATGCCCCTACTCAGAGTTCCTCGTTGGTGTGTTCTAGGATGGCTGGTTTGGATGAGGAGTGCTGTTGTCCAGACAAGTGTCTTTGTGTTTGTGTGTCTGTAATCTGCTCTCTATTTCTTATGTAGTTAGTGAAACACTTATGCCTGTGAAATAGATTTTCCCCTGTTGGTTATTAAGTATCTTTTGACATTGCACGCTGTGGTTAATACTTGAAGTTTAATAATAAAATATTGTTTAGATGTAACGTTCCTGAGGTTATATTTTATAAACTTTCAAGTTTCTGTTCTTATTTATTTGATATATAGATTACAGTAATGATTAAGAGTAAGAGATATATTTATTTCTTGACCAGCCTTAACCCCAATGAAATAATTATTTGAGGAGTGTTATTCCAAGTGATTTATTATTTAGGGGGCCATGGCATGACAGAAGTTGAGAATCTCTGTCTGAGGGGCATCCAAGTTAGTTCTTCTGTTTTGAGCAGTGTGTTTTCAGCTAGAATGTTTATACCTAACAATGCATTTTCGACATTAATGTAATATTTTAATAATGCTATATTACACAGTGTTTCAAAACAATATTTGGTTATCAATGGTTTATTGCATTGACACTTATGTTTCATAGAAGCAAAACACTGGGCGGAGGGATGGGGAAGATGTAATTATTTTTAGGAAAAAAGAGCAAATTACAAATTTGGGAGCATGATGCCAAATAACCTCTTAAGAAAAATCAACAAAATATTAGTGTATGGATGGCTTTAAGAAAAATCAACAAAATATTAGTGCATGGCTGACTTTAAGAAAAATCAACAAAATATTAGTGTATGGCTGGCTAGTGATCTTTTTTTGCTCATTTTTAAACCTTTTTTAAAAATATTATTCCCATCAGGAACATTGCTTCACAAACAATTGCTAAATTGAAAGATGTGGCTCGTCCTATTTCTTCTTGTTTAGACCATGAACATTACAATAAAGAAAGGTCTGCTTCTTTGGACTTACTGCTGCGTTTTCAGCGCTTACTTGTTAGTAAGTTATATCCAGGAGATCATGTTGGACAGGTCCCTAATACATACAGTAAGTATAGCATTTTATTTTTTGTGTGTGTGTGTGTGTGTGTGTTGAAAGCATGCTGTTACTTTCTGTTGGACTAGATAGCCATTTCACAAGAGTTTCCTCTAAATTTTAGTAAGATTAAATACTACTGTATGAACAGAATGTGATGTTTCCTTCTCTTGACAGGTCCTGAGCTTCTAGGAGTTGGTTCTCTGCTGAAGAAATACACAGCCCTTCTGTGTACACACGTTGGGGATATTTTGCCTGTAGCAACTAGCATTGCTTCTACTAGCCATAGGCATTTTGCAGAAGTATCTCGTGTTGTAGATGGCGACTTAACAGGTACTGATACTTGTTCTTTTTATTCCATTTTATCACTTTTAATGATAAGTAAAACATAAGCAACACAATGGATATGGCTCCAGTTGTATACATTTGGATCCATGCTGCTTGTTCCAAGGAAGGGGGATTGATTTTTTTAATTTGAAAAGCTGCTATTGAAGGTTATCTGTGTAAGGGGAATGGGCAGAATTTGCCTAATTTATCATTTTGTTGATTTGCCAGTTTGCAAGTCTGGATCCAAGCCATTTGAAATTTGTTGGGAGGATGCACAAAGTACATAATTCTAGCTTTTTACTAAACATTCTGTTTTCCTTAGGTGTTCTCCTTCCAGAGTTAGTGGTATCTGTAGTACTCCTTCTCAGTAAAAATGCTGGGCTTATTCAGGAAGCTGGAGCGATTCCTTTATTGGCTGGCTTATTAGAACACCTGGACAGATTTAGCCATTTGGCTCCTGGTAAAGAGAGAGATGACAATGAAGACTTAGCTTGGCCTGGAATAATGGGTATGCTCTTTCCTGGAAATATTTAGAACACTTCTTTTAACATACCTTCTCAGATAAATTTTAGATGTTTTTCTCTGTTTTGAGTTAGCAGACCTCTTTTTGAGCATTGTTCTTGGTTTGAGGCATTGTATTTTAGAGGGATTCACACAAACAGGGACAGGTAAAATGAAAGACAAATAGGATCAAGTTGGAAATTAAGTCTTGTAAGGAGACTCTGAGGACATTGAGTATGTTTAGCTATGGGAAAAGATGAGTGGGGAATATGATAGCTCTCTGCAAGAATGCCGTTATCTACTAATTTTTATCTCAGAATGCAGAGCATGGCATAACAGTCTTAAGTCAGATTCTGACTGAATGTTATTAAAAAAACCCCTTCCTAACTAGAAAGATAGTGGAACCAGCTACCTGAAGAGTTTGTGGGCTTCCCTTCATATTCTGTCATTAACCGGTGACTAGGTAGATGTTTGGAGATGTTTTAATTTGGATTCCTGCATTAAGTGGGAAGTTGGCCTAAATGGCTCTTTGAAATCTATGATTTTTGAAAAAGTATGTCACAAAATATATATTTACAGTGGAATACATAATTAAGTTGTGGCTTCCTAATTCTTTAGTTTTACTCTTTTCAGTTTGATAGTTATGAACCATAGTTAACATTTTTCTCCATTTCTTAGGTACATTCTTTACAGGACAGAATTGCAGAAATAATGAGGAAGTGACACTTATACGAAAAGCTGACTTGGAGAACCACAATAAAGATGGTGGCTTTTGGACAGTGATTGATGGCAAAGTGTATGATATAAAAGATTTCCAAACCCAGTCATTAACAGGGAGTGGTATACTTGGTGAGATTCCACTACTTTATCAAAGCAAACACCAAATTCAAGTTGTTGTTCAGTTACCTTCTAAACTGATGGCTTTCTGTTTCCTTTAGCCCAGTTTGCAGGAGAAGATCCAGTTGTTGCTCTGGAGGCAGCTTTGCAGTTTGAGGATACAAGAGAATCAATGCATGCCTTCTGTGTTGGCCAATATATGGAGGTAAAAGGTTTAGAGAAATTATCTCAAACTTGAGCCACGTAAGATAAAAAAATGGTCTTAGTTGGATACTATACCATAACAAGTATGGCACATGTCTGCATTTGCACATCACATTGAAGAATTATGAGTCATGAATTAATTTAATCTCCTCCTAGGTCCACATGCACTCACTTCTTTGAAAGCTCTTCTCTCTGTTTTCCTATGAAAATGCTTTGTGTTGGTATTTGAATTGTGGTTTATCATTATTATAGTTTCAAAACAAAATTAACTTGACTGCTTGGATTATGAAGGTCATATGTGGAAATAATCTCTAGTTAGTACCAAATGTGATTCAGTTGCAGGACTAAGTTGAGTTTAAAAAACTCATATTCAAATGTATCCTGGAACAGTTGTTATCCTTTTTGAATCACTTAATGTTTTAAAAGCTAAACATTGTTTTATTCTTAACATTTCTACAATATAGATTTAAAATCCTATCAGCTTTCATTACAGATTAGGGTGGATATCTGTGGAAATTTAAAGAGTTAATTAGCTTCAATCTGATATAAAAGTTTAATTATACTGAAAAACCAATTACATACATTACATATACAGTAGAGTATATGTAAACTTTTTGACTATTTGTTCATTCATTGCAGTTGACAGAACAAGAATAAGTCTGAATAAGGGAGCAGAAATAGTGGTTTTCTAAATTTATTGTAGTTCTTACTGTTTGATAGTTCTCTTCCTCCTTCTTCCCTCACTAATATTTTTTCCTGTGTCTCCAGTACAGCTGAATACTAAATTAAAGTCCTTGACAAAGTGTGATCATCACTATTTAATCAAAAATTATCCCAACACATCAAAGTTTATTCATCATGGGATTGATTGGGGTCTGGTTTTATTTATTTTTTATTTCTGTAGCCTGATCAGGAGGTGATCACAACACCAGATACTGGCAGTCTCTCATCACCCCTCATAGACACTGAAAGAAATTTAGGCCTGCTTCTTGGACTACATGCTTCCTATCTAGCAATGAGTACACCACTTTCTCCAGTGGAGATTGAATGCGCCAGTAAGAATTTGTATATTTTACTTTAAATGTAAATGTAAATTTATATAGGGGTTAATCTATGTTCTATAATGAAGTTTTTAAAATAAGCTAATTTTTCATTCATCCTATTGTTACAGTAATTTATTTCAAAGGCCAAATAAATGATTTGCCTCCCCCCCCAATACTTTTATTTGTTAACGCAAACCTTCATTAGTTGCAAACACAAGTAGTGAGTTTGGGGGATCACTCACCTGATTTAAATGTTACTATTTCATGTGCATCTGTGTAAAGAATAAAGGACAATCTTAAAATTCAAGAAACACCATTATGTGATATACTGCATGATTTGTTTAAAGAAAATCCCAGATTTACTCCTTGGCGTTTCTAATTTAAACAAACAAAAATTATAAAAATATTAGCAAGGAATGAACAATGCCCCAGACAGTGGGGAATACACTTTATTGAACTAGGTAGGCCCATAGTGTTGCTTTAGTATTAAGAAGCTTTATGTGTTAACTACTGGAATTATATGAGACAAAAAAGGGAGGACATAAAATCCCTGCATTTCTGAATAGTCTAAAATGCCTTGTCCTTTAGAGTTTGGCAATAATAATTTACTAAATTCCCAACAACTCTGGGCAGCTCACAACAATCAAACAAAAGAAACTCCTGTTTTTAAATAAGTTTCTTTTAAGTTTATTTTTAAATAACTGCTTACCAAAGCTACAGAAATAGTATGATTAAACAGAATGTTTGAATGTATTTTCTTTTATAGAATGGTTGAAGTCTTCTATTTTTTCTGGAGGCTTGCAAACTAGTCAGATACATTATAGTTATAATGAAGAAAAGGATGAAGACCACTGTAGCTCTCCTGGTAACACCACACCAAACAAATCAAAACTGTATTCCCATCGACTAACTTTGAGTGATCACTCACAGCCTTTTCTGCAAGCTATTGCAGACAACAATATTCAGGATCACACTGTGAAGGTAAGAGTACCTTGTCTTAAGAACAGAGATGGGCTGCTCTGGGCACTGGAATTGCTAGTTTACATGTTGGTGCTTATAAACCCTTGGATTGTTCTATTGTTACACCAACGTGATTGATATCCCAAGTTTTAAACAGTGTGCTGGAGATAATTACTATATACTATTTAGGGTCACAAATAAGAGCTTACTGGTCCAGACACATCATATTAGTGGAAATAAATGGGTTCTTATATTATGTAAGATTCTGAGATTCCTATCAAGACCTTAACTAACTGTCCATCCTGTCCCTGCACCCCAGCATTGTGAGCTGAGCTGTTCTTAGTCTTCCTGTCCAAAGCTGTAATAAATGGAATTTGCTCATTCCCAGAATGGTTGCTGCAAATGTGGCCAGTCACAAAACACCCATTTGCTAAAGACACTCTGGTGCTGTTAAAAGAAAAACAACTTCCTCAAGAACTTCTGTACGAGGCTTTTGAACTTCATAACATAACTCCTTTGAGCCTGTTTTCTGCTCCAATATGAATTTCAGAAGAAGAAGTTGAAACTCAAAAACAAATAGCATAGCCAAAAAAATTAAATATAAGGCAGATTTGGAAAACGAGCACCAAATGTCAAATGGTATGTTTCCCTACCATACAGAGACTCTCCATTCTAAATTAGGCTAAATTTCCCACCACTTAAAACCCCACTACCACACTAAAGCAACTGGCCAGTTAACCAAAGCAATTAATATAGACATTCCATCCCAACTTGTCCTGGAGACCAAACTTTGCCTAAAATAATGCTACCCTCCGAAACAAAACATAGAACATATATCCCATTGGATGCCCCTTGTCCTTGTTTTTTATGATGTTCACATTGTTGTTGGCAATAATCACTTCCGGGGTGGCTAGGGAAGCCTGAGCAATTAAAAAATATGTGACAAAAATCCAGGAAAGGGGTCCCTCGTGGTTATCTTATTTCTCTTTCTAGCGTTTTCAGGTTTTTTTCCCCTGTATCTGCTATTTTTTGTTCTGGAAGTAATGCTGAGTCTAGCCTTGTTCCATGCATTCCTTCGATAGTGCAAGAACATTATCCCGCACAATTGCATTGAGTGACTATGCCAGACAATAGGTTAGAAAAGTCTGCTGCTTTTGTAAAAACTACAATTCTGCCTAAAGAATATTAAATAAAACTATGTGAGAGATACAAAACAGGCTGTTTGTCTGACTGTTACTTCTGCAAGTGTTTTCATTGTGGTGTTTATTGCCTTAATGTGTGATAAGAATGCAATTATTATCCTAAATTATGAGGAGATGGTTGCAACTGTATGTAAGAAAAGGGAATGTAGGGGAATGTGTCTTGAGATTCTGATATATGATATTCTGATATATGATATTCTAATATGTGATATTCACAGAATGCTTTTTTCAATTATTTGTTTCATTGAATTACATAGAATTCATATAATTGCTACAATGCCATAAACTCCACTAAGTGTATATATTTTTGTCTAGGACTTCCTATGTCAAGTCGAGAGGTACTGCAAACAGTGTCACCTGACAACGCCAATTACATTCCCTCCTGAGCACCCAGTGGAAGAAGTAGGACGTCTGCTGTTATGTTGCCTTCTAAAGCACGAGGATTTAGGTATCCATATTTGACATACAGTTATCTCAGAGTAGCATTGCAAAAACCGTGGGGCAGTGAGATGAAGGAGACAGTGATTAAATGGGTAGGGTGCTAAAAATTTACTAGGGCCTACGTTGGTCTAGCATGGCATGAGCAAAATATGTGGTCATTTGTCAGCCAAAATGCTGCATGACTTATTCTTGTCTCCATTTGGAATACAAGATTGGGTGGGAAACTTGGGGTTACTATGATAATATAGCCCTTTGGCATTGCAGTATCCAAGAAGAGCTAGGACATGGTAGGTAGATTCTTAGATATTTCAGGAGATTTTCTTTTTTGAGGAGCAGAATGCAACAACCTTTGTTTCTTCCCAAATTAGTCCACATGCTTCCAAATTTGGAATTTGGCTGAGCTGGGCAGACTTATAAATCTAGAGAAAAAAATGCTTGCCTTTGTGGTGACAAAGGTATTAAGAAGGGTGGAGAGGGGAGGGATACCTATCCTATGGAATATTTTGTTGTGGGGAAAGCAAAATTCCAAAAGCATTTAGTATAGCACATACTTGAATAAGTTTTCTTCCCAATCCTATTAAACTCTATTTCTGCACTGTGAAAAGAATAAAATTTTGGTTGGACACATGGGATGGCAAGGTGTGGCAGTGGAGTAAGGGAAACAGGTGTCTTTTATATTCTTCCAAAATAGACCAAAGAGAAAATTCTCTGTCACTTCAGATCAGAGTATCAGGAAGCAAAAAGCTCATTGTCTTCCTATTTTACTTTACTATTTTATTTAATATTATGCTTTTGTTTATTCTTTTCTAAAGGTCATGTAGCACTTTCTCTTGTTCATCCTGTTATGCTTGGAGTTGACCAAGTTAAACACCGAACACTTCCAAAATCTGTAGCAGATGTTTGTCGTGTTGTCTATCAAGCAAAATGTTCACTGATCAAAGTAAGTGGAGTCAAGAAATCAGCAATATCCTTTCTTGGTACTAATAGCTATTATTGCTACTTAAATTATGAACTGATTCATTTGCATTACTTTTTTAAGACTCATCAAGAACAAGGAAGATCTTACAAAGAAGTTTGTGCTCCTGTTATTGAACGTTTGAGATTTCTCTTCAATGAACTGCGTCCAGCAGTATGCAATGATCTCTCCATCATGTCCAAGCTTAAAAGTCTTAGTTCTTTGCCCCAATGGAGAAGGGTCGTTCAGAAGATAATTAGAGATAAGAGAAAAAAGAGAGGTAAAACAATGTTTTAAAATACGATTTATAGTAGAGGTGATGGAGAAGATGTGATTGTTATTAGTTGACATGTAAAATACAAAGGATTTTGGGTTGTTCCCAAGTAAGACTTTTATGCCTCATTGAAAAAATTGGCATCATCACTTATCCATCACTGCTTGTGTGTCCAGTTCCACATGGGCTCCATCTTGTAAATTCAAAAGACTAGGCAGTTAGCAAGAATAGGTTGAGGAATATAGTCCTCTGCCACATGCAACTGCTATTCATTTCAGCAGTGACTTTTTTCCTAGGCAAAACTTAAACGTTTGTTTCTTAGGAAACCCTGATTTATAGAATTATTATGTTTTGTATTTCTGGCTTTTTAAAAAGTCTTTTTTTCCTGCTAGCTCCTAAAAAATTGGAATCTTCTGATGTTGAAGGATCCAAAATTGGAAATGAGGAAAGTGATTTGGGAGAGTCATGTGTGATACCTCACAGTCCAGTGACAGCTGATAAAAGGCCCTTGTCTGTCAAATCACCTAAGGTAGAGTATAAAAAAGGATGCACCCAGTAAGACGTAGATAATGCTGAATGTTTAGTATATAGATAGAAGCCACTTTAATGTAATTTCTGTATATGCATCATAATCAAATGAGCACAAATGCGCTGCAGCAACCCAGAACAGCAGAAAAAAGAAACAGACCATCTATACAACATCTTCCATTATCAAAAAGTGCCTCACCACTCAACCTACTACAACAGAACCAACACAAGCTATGAAAAGGATAACACTGCCACATGTCAGAAATGTCTCAGAAACTACCAACAGACTATTACAATCACATGGCATCTCCGTAGCACATAAACCAACTAAAGCCCTCCAAAACATCTTAAGCAAACCAAAAGACCCAATAGCCCAAGAAG